TAAAGATTAATTCCTGGGTGGCTGACAGCCTTTGATTTGGGGATTAAACTGGTGCAGAAAGGCTGAGTGTCTAACAACTAGAGGAGACTGGAGAAAGGTAAATGTTATTTGAATTGCTCAAGGGTTTTGAGCCCAGATCTCCTGTTTCTGCTCTAACTACTGGGCTACGAAACACCATAGTGTGGTGGTGAGGGTCTAGGTGTCTGCTCAACTCTTTGTGCTGGAGCTACTCCTCCGCTTTGCACTGAAACAAAGTAGTTCTCTGAGAGGTCAGGGATGGTGGAAGGAGTCTATAAGTATTCAAAAGTATGATTTGCTGGTCCTGCTGGTCAGACAAGGAGAACACCTGCCATGAAACACTCAACCACGGGAAGAAGCAGAAACCGCATCCCAGTGGTGGGTGCCCTGAGAGCTGGGCTGGAGAGATGGACGTGGCTTTGCTCTCTGGTCCCAGCGGTCCTTAATGCTGCCCTGCACAGACACAGCCAAAGCTGGAGGGGCTGGAGGAGCCAGCCCCATGCCCTCAACCTTCAGCAGGCAGCATGGGCTGCCAGCCCCTCCGGCAGAAGGGAGAGCTCCACTTGGGGGTCTCCGGCTGCTGAAGCCCCTGGAGCAAACACCCTCGCTCTGTTCCAGGGCCTGGCCCTGGCACAGCCCCATGAAACCGTGAGTGCCCCATCGGAGAGGGGACAGGAAGCCACGGGGTCCGAAGCGGCGAGCGCCCTCCCAGAGCAGTTTTCCCTTGGGGCAGTTTGTTTTCACTGTATTTGTGTCCCCGGGACCCAGCTGCTTAGCAACTGGATAAAATTGTCTCAAAATGCTGGCACTGCCCTCCGTACCAGGGCAGGGGCTGGGCTGTGTCCCAGGGGGGGGGCTGCCTGCCAGGCGAGGTGGCCATGCGGCACTCATGGGGGGACCCCCATTCCCTGTCCCCAGGCACACCGGGGGGCTGTCCCAGAGACGAGAGGGAATTTGGCCCTTAATCCGTGGCAAATGCTGCACTGCAGGCAAGGCGTACGGGTAGCTCTGCCCCAGGGCAGAGGAAACATATGCACTCTTGATCACAACACCTTGGTAGATCTGAGCAGATAAGTGCTTTTTCCTCTCTGGAAGACCAGGAAAAAAAGTACATTTGGAGTATTCTCGTGAAGTACCTGAAAATGAGAATATTCCCCATTCCTGACTGTGGATTTGGGGGAGACAGGTTTAACTACACTGTCTTACTTTGGTTTGGGGCATTTAAAATAAAAACAGAGAAAAAAATGGCAATGGAGGGTTATGGCTATATAGTCTTTGGGCCAGAAGGTGAACAGGCATGTGACTACTGCCTGGTGCTGTCTTGCTCTGTTTGACTCCTCTTCCTCTGTGGATAATGCTCAAAGAGGTAACCAGGCTACCCAGGAAGCCAAACCCTGCTCAGTGGAGCTGACTTCCCTTGAAGGGCCGTGCAAAGGGCAAGGGATAAAAATTATTAGAGTTTTTAGGACAGCAGCTTATAACACACTTGCCCTTATAAGTGGCTGACGTGCAAAAGATCGTTGTTGGCAATTGCTGACAGCTTGTGTGTTTACCTCAATCAGCAAGTATTTGTAATTAATTTTAAAAATGTTGAAGTTCCAGCCTTACTAGGAACATTATAAACTGCCCTCAGCACTCTGATGTGCTTCCAAAACATATGCTGCCACAAGTCAAAAAGCACAAAGACTCAAATATTTCAGGGGGGAGGTGGGGGAGAAGCGAGGAGATGATGCAGTTGAAATGAAAATGATTTAGATAACTCAGTATCTATTCACAAATATTTAATTTTCATGACTGGAAGCAACCACAACTGTTATAAGTAGGGTGAACCGCCACATCAGTTCTAACATCTCTTCTGCTTGACGCCACAGCACCACAATATGGAGCCTTTGCCAGCAGTGGGATGGCTAGACTTCACTTTTTTTCTTTCCCAGGCCCCAGTGCTGAGACAACTTTATGTGTCTGGGGGCCCCAGTGGAGATTAAAATAGGCCTGTGAAAAAAATATGATTTTCTGAAGCAGGTATTGCTGCTGAAGACTCAGCATTGCTGAGCCACTCCCTGGGAGCTTTTCGAAGAAGCGTGGGATGCTTCCGCCCGCATTTCTGCCCAAAATATTTATTGATAGTTTCTATCTCTGTTTGGACACAAAAATGGCAAATTGCAATTTCACTATTTTTGAGTTGCTTTGCATTTTTATGGCAGTTCTTCATGGCAGTTTTCACTAACTATATCACTTTTGGCCTCAGCAACAGATTAGGCAGGAAACCTTCAAGTCAGGAAAATGCCATTGCCAAATCGACCATCAGAAATTGGTCAGGGGGTGGAGGTGGGTGAGCTTGGTTCAAGCTCCAAATAAATCCCCTTTCAAATGGCTTGCATCTTGAGTTAACGTCATTCCTTTAAACTTGGAAGTGTGCTGTTCACTGCCCCAAAATCCTGGGGAGCTGAGGCTGCTGAGAGGGCACAGGTGAGCAGAGGAGAGACAGCCAGGGCCAGGGGCAGCAACCAGCACCTGCTAACTTCTCCCTGAGGCTTTAGCAGCAGGTTTTAGTTAGAGGGATTTTGGGCTTCATGAGGGAGTGGGAGAGCACGCTCAGATTGCCAATCTGTAGCTAAGTAATTTTTAGGTTTTTTCCAGCAGCACAATTATGAAAAATGCCTCTCGTTCCCCATTACTGTTGCTATTAGCAGACAGGCAGAGCTCCCAGCGTGAGCCAGTTCTTGCTAACAAAGTCTGTGTGTACCACATTAGGGAACATACCACTCACACGGCTTTCAGAGCGTCGTAAGTGATTTGCCATAGCTCCTGGAATGGTACAGAGCCAAACACATCTACGTCTCCTGTCAGAGAAGGCAGCGAGGTCGAGTTTTAAATTCAAGATGCTTGATTAAAAGAAAAGACCAGCACGCCCAAACCCCTGCTTCTGGCCACTGAGTTGCCCTCCTGCTCAAGCACCAGGTGGGTGCAGCGCGGATGAGGACTATCATATTTGGATGGTGCTGTGAAGTCAAATGTCTCTCACTCGCCCACTCAGTCACTCACACGAGCAGTACAATAGTAGACTGAAAAAAACCTTACCAGGGATTATATAATCCTCCATCTTCACATGCACTTACCTCTACGGTTACTTTTCCTTTTAGAAGGTGGGCCTTACTCCAATGCAGAAAGAAAATGGTCTAGCGTGTAGGACATGCTGTTCTTCACCTTGATTTTGTCAAGGCTTTCAGCACAGGCACCCATACTATCCTTATAGCCAAAGTGGTGAGGTCAGGACTGTGCTGCAACAGACTCTGGGTGGCCACGGGCCAGCCTGGTCCTATCTACAGGTTTTCTTGTGCTTAAGTCCCCTGACACGCACCTCTGCTGTAGCCGTTGTCTAATCCCCAAGGCAGAACGGGGACTTGGCTCTCTGCAGTGGGCTGGCCAGACAGGAAAGAGGCTTGTAGAGGACTCAGATGTTAGCTCTCTGGTGACACAGTCAGCAGGAAATGGCTCAGAGAGCAGAAAACACCTCAGGGTGTTTTTTTCTTAAATGTGTGCATTTTCTTTTAAATGTAGACAAGAATTTTACCTGTTTCCCGTTGCTCCCACCCCAATATGTATCACTTTCTTATATCAATCCTGGTTCCTCCAAGACTTTCCCCACTCCGTGCAGAGGAACAGAAAGCTACACTGGAGATGCCAGGCATTAAGACACCTTCTTTTCTTCTGCATAGTCTGTGAAGATTTCTACAGAAAGGAAATATATTACAACAAATTTGTATTCATATCCAAGCTTGCACAATGAACCAGTTAAGGATCTGTGATTTTTTTTTTTTCAAGTATGTGGCTGAATGTTTATGGGACGGTCTAGTTTTTAATCCAAACTTTCACAAATTTAGACATCTGCCTCCAGTGCTCTCAAAAGGGCATGCAATCAGCACATCTGAAAATCAATACACCTCATGGGGCTGAGTACCTCAGTTAATCAAATACTAAAACCATTAGCTTTTGCTCAGCTGCCAGTTAACTCCAGAGCATTTCTGCATAGTTACAAGATTATAATTGTTAGGGAAAAAAAGAGAAAGTCGGTATTTTAAAACATCATGATCCCTGTGATTTTTCATCGTTTGAACTTCACCTTTACCGCAGCTTGATTCTTCTTCCAGAGTTGCTCATTAGGTAAATCTAGAGAAAACAAAACCTTGGCTGTCTCAGCGATCCTGGACAGTAGGGACTGCAAGGCTATTCTATGGCCATCTGTTTCGCTGCAAGAAAGGTTTTAGAAAACCAATCCAGGCAGTTGATTCATTATAAAATAGACAGAAGTTATGAAGATAATCATGGAAACAAATCCTATGAAGAACTCTTAAGTCCCTGGCTGCTATTACAGTTATTTTTTAAGTCAGCACTGGCTACCCACATCACATGAATAATAAATACTATGTAAGTCACAGATGTAAGATAGGAATAGCTGCAGAGATCAGGGCCTTACCAATGGTTACATTTAATTCATATAAAATGATTGCAGTTATTTTTCTGGAGCATGGTTGGTGTGAGACAATCTCAGACTGCCTGGGGGAAAATGACCCTACACAAGAGCTCACTGTCTCAGAGGCCATGTGTTTCTCTGAAGATGAAGGCAAGCTGTGTGCAACTCTCCCGACTCCGGTTTGTGAGACAGGCTTTGGCAACAGAGGACAAAGTGTGGAACAGAGAAACTTTGTTGGTAGCAGAGGAAAGACTAAGGGAAGGCGCAATGCAGCGATTTTTCTCTAAATTAAATCTTTGATGCATGTCAGACCTTAGCTTAAGCACCCTACTAAGGAAGTCTGGAGCAGGAACCTCTGTCATCAATACCGGAAGATGAACTTTCATCCATACATTCCCTAGTCCTCTTTTGATTGCAGTCCATTAAACTGCAATTCATGTGGCTATGGCAGGAGACTTGTTATGTAGCCACACAGCATGCCAGGAAATAAACACCAATATGAACAAAGTTTTTCTCAACCTTATATTTTCAAAAGCACCTTACAGTAATCGGTAGCCAAGCAGCAATAAAGATTTTTAATCACTGTAGTTTCTGCTGCCCTGAAACTAAATACAATCCTATTTCATAAAAGCCTGTGGTCACTCAGGGACATCAGTTTCAGTCTGCTCGAGGCCTGTGTGCCCAGTCCAAATGCCTCTTACAGTAACAAATCCAGTATCAGGCTTTACCAAAAATAAACCAAAAATGTGATCTGAATGTTGAACTCAACAACACAACAGGGCTGGGGACCAGAAAGGGTGGGCAGCAAGTGTGCTCCTCTGCAAGAAAGTTCCTGGAAAAGTTTGCACGTGAAGGGGACCTCAGCTGTTGGGGCAGAAGTCTCAGCAGCAGTGTCACAAGGAACTCCTGGCATCCAAGTCAGACTTCTTCAGATGTTCATTGCCAGGTTGATGAACTAATATGAGAAGAAAGATCAACTTTACAATAAATTATTTCAGGCCCTTTTCCCTCCCCCTCCCTTTCCCAAATGAAAGGGAGATGTTCAAAAGCACTGCCTTGCTCTGAATTGACCCCATGCAGGGAAGAGGACCTTTGGTCACTAGGCTTTTATGCCCTCTCACTAAGGAGTGACCTCAGCCAGCATTTTCTGCGCTTGGAGGGAAGGAGGCAGAGGTCTCCAAGCACAAGATGCTGACAGTGGCAGTGATTTTTCTTGTATCCCAGCAGTCCACATGGGCTCCCATGTTTGTCGTGCTGGGGAATTCTTTGTGCCTTGCCCCAGGAAGCTTTGGGTTAGTGTAAAATGAAAACCAGCCCATGTGTGCAACAGGGAGGCGAAGAGAGTACAAGAAAATAACAAGCCTGTTCTGAACAGTACAAGAAGCAGAGGATGGACACACACAGGAGAATCTGATGTGAACTCCTGGGGGATTCAGGGAGAGTGAAAGACCCCCATGTCACAGTCTGCTGCTTCCCCCTTTCCCCATTGCAAGCTGGCACTCAAGGAAGGAAAAAGCAGAGAATCCAGAAAGGTCAATGGGAAGCTGATAATATGCTACAGGGCAAGGAATGAAGGAAATAGTGCAGAGGAGACGTAGTCAGTGCATGCACTGTAAAAGCCCAGCACTACTGAAATCTACAGCACATCCTCTGCATTCTCGTGGACATGGATGTCACCTGGTGCCATGCAGAAATACATTGGTTTTTACAAAAGGACAAAGCTCTAGAGAAGCCCCATCATTTTGTCAGTGTTTATGAAGCTGTGCTCATACCTCGCCTATATTCAGGTTAATGAACTCCTTGTTTTTCACACTCAGTGCTTGGAATACTCCTGAAATGAAAAACAGGACACCAGTGCTATAAATACACCTCATTCATATTCAAACATGAGCTCCCCAACCCACAACGCGGGGTGGCCGTGCCAAGGAGAGGGAGGGCCCAGCACAATCCCAGCAGACCACTTAGGATTGCTTGGTGGTGGTGGTAGCTGCTCTGATAAAATGAAGTCCTTGCAAGAGGAAATGTCTCATTGACTTAAGGCCTTTGTACAAGTCTCACTTCAGAACTTGACTTGAAAGTGGGTGTTCTGGATGTGCTAAACAGTGGGATTCGGATGATTTTCCAAAATGAAGCCAAGCAGTTTGCATTTCTTTATATAACTTATTTAACTTTTCTCTCTCAGTAGTTCAATACTTCTATTGCCACAGGTTGAACCACGAAGCAAAGAGAACAAAACAAAAATTATCACTCAAGAAAGCCGATTTTGCTTCTCATAGAGCAAGTTGCATTTGATTTGAATTTGGAGCCAGACTAACTAATGACACTTCAGCATTTATTCAGCAATTTTACCTATCTCTACTGCTTCTGCTCTGAAACAAGAGAGACCCTGTGCACAAATGAACGGACACATAGGGTGCCTCCAGGTACAGGGAGCCATATCTTCAGCTGAAAGAGGACAGGTTATGTAAAAGGTAGAGGAGACACCTGCGCCAGTGTATGCCAATGATCTCTTTGCATGAAGCACAAGCAATATTTGGACCTTGGAATTCTGTGATCCCAAATTAAGCTCATGGGTGAGCCACAGGAAAGGCTATAACACAGACTTTGCCAGCATTCTTCACATGCCTTCTCTGTTGTTGCAGAGTTTATGAAGCAGGCCCTATCCACATGGGGAAATTTTCCGTTAGCAGCAGAACATTTTACATTTTACAGGAGAAAAGCCATCCTAAAAGCAATTGCTAAACACAGCTCCTTTCTGTTAGCCATTCAATGTACACACTTGATCCCAGATATTGTGCAATGACAGTCAAAAGTGGAACATTTTTTTTTCCGAAGGGGAAGAAATTCCAGAGGAAGAAGATACTCACGACTTGCATTCTCCAAGCGAATTAAGCAGTTCAGGAAATCATCAAATTCAATCTGGAACTGTTCATCAGAGTATCGGAGGACAATCAGTTGCAGCAAGTGGTTGTTGAGTTGGTATCCTTCCCAAAGACACACACACAAAGGAAAAGTGAGCAATCTTGTAGGCCAGGGAGGAATCTGCAAATCTCTATTAACTAATCTTGAAAAACAGTTAATGGGAGAATACTTTATGGCACATACCCATCCAGAAAGTGAACCGATCACAAAGTTCTTTAAGCTTGCAATGAATAACATACTCTGAACAAGAAATGTTGCAGTCACTGCAGTTTATAGTCCATGCACTTTTTGATGCTTGAAGGACCATTCTGCCTCCTTGAAGTTTGGAGGGATTTCTGCAAAACTAGGTACTTTAATAAAAATAATTTGTGATGAAATACAAATGCATTGACTGCTAGTCATTACAAACATCTTACTCACTGTTCCTCCACCTCTCAAGTGGAGATGGACTTGTTTCAGGGTCTAACCTTGACATGTGCAGTCCTGTTTTGTTTAACAGAGTTCAACAAAAATGTAAAGATTGCTCTGACTGACTACCCTGCAGGGTTGGGGCTATCTGGGGCACAATGCGTCCACTCAATGTCCTCTCTAGGTGCCCAGGTCCTCTCTGATGTCTAGTCCTCCTTCCTGTTCAGGGGTACTCAGCCTGTACAACTAGTTGCAGATGTCTTCACCCACAGCCAATCTGCCTGATAGGTTTCCCAGATAAAATGCAGTGCTTGTCTTACCTGCAGCTTTAAGAGCACTACGAAGCTCATAGGAGGACATGGAGCCAGATTTATCAAAGTCAAATTGAAGAAAGATATTCTGTTGTGAAAGGAGCAAATGGAAATTTCAGTATTTGTATCTGAAAGGGAGGACAGACATGGCATAGAAAGGCAAGGTATTTATCTCTAACCATGTAGCATAAGTGTTTAAGAAAGCTGACAAGACTTTGGTGTACATCCAGTCTGATTTTGTAAAAGAGGAACAAATCTGGGTCTCAGTTCTTTTTGTCATATGAAACAGGTTGTTGCAAAACTTAAACAAGTACTGCCAAACCCAAGCATTCAAAAATTGAGAGCTGCCTTTCATAAAAAATTCCATGATTTTTTAAAAAGTGATATTATCTGGAAAGGATGTGTTTTTATTTGTCTTTTAACTCGTGACTGAGGCATTCTCTTAATCTTTTTTTTTTATGTTTTTTTCCATAGTCCTGAAGGCTAGAGGTAAATTGTTTAATACGAAGTTGAGATTGTCACTTGTTAGATCTAAGATCTAAGTAGTCACATTCATTATAAAACCAAGAGAACTGGTAAAAATGGTTTGAGTTTTGACCTAAATATTAAATAATTATTAAGCTGCAGAAATAATTATTAAGTTGCAGTTAAATTCAATCCTTTTAATGAGATGACAAGCACAATTCTCCCTTGGAATATGAGTTATTTAGAGTTGTCGTCACGTTCAGCTTAAAATTTTCCATCAGATATTTGTGGAAATCTTCCTACAGGATACAAGGATTTCTCAAACCCCCTTGTTAAAAAACAATGCATCTTTTGTTGAAATAGCTATGGCATTAGTACCCAGAAAAAGCATTTGCCATTTCTGATGGGATAGACAAGGAACAGAGAACTGCATATTTAGGATGCTTGGGTGAAGCATGAATTGAGGAGAAAATATTAATGACCATGAGGAAACAATTATGATGTCTTTATTTGAATATTCAGTCTGTGGCCTGATTATGCAAGCCTGCTTATTCTTACTGCCATATACAAAGGCAGAAATGTGTTTAAAATTAGGATCAACACTTTCCCAGACTTCAGTACAGTTGATTCCTGAGAGATCAATAACGGAAATGCAACAACTTAGGAAATGATTGTTTCCTACTAGTCATGAATCATCACTTTCTTCTGGGCAACAGCAGCAATGGAAACTCCTTAAATTTCATTTTGATTGGCTTCCTTATTAGTGCCCATTGCATTCTTTAGCCCAAACATAGTTGATTTACTTACAAAAATCTCTGTTATTTCCAGAAAACCATTATGGTTTAGCATCATGGAAAGTTTAGAATGTCTTTGACCATCCAAAACAAGCCCCCATACTTTTAAAACATTTGTTTTGAGTTAAATTCATGGTTTGTAAACACTCCTGTCCCCATTTTGGTCTGTGCATACATAATAAACTATGCAGGAAATAGCTAATGAAATGGAGAAACAAATACAATGAATAGAGTCACCTACTATCCATTTCTTCATTTTTTCCCAGAAAACTTTGAACTCATTAAATTCCAGTTTCCCATTTCCACTGGTCTGGTAATCTGAATTAAGGAAAATGATTTGTTACGTGAAGGTCCAAATTCTGTCTGAATTTATCTGTACTGTTCCTTTAAGCAGAAAATATGTTGCCTGGAAAGCCTATGGTGCAGCTGAAACCAACACTAGGGTTTCTCATGAGGTGCAGCTCAAGCAGTTACAGTTATGGCTGTGGCTGTGACACTTGGGGAACATGATGTGATATAAAATCACAGCTGAGCAATGCAAGTTCCATGGGAGAAAGACAGACAGATTGTTCTAAGTCAAGAACAGCTTTGGATGTAAATGGGATATAAATGATTCAGAGAATTGAATGACCTGATTAAAACAAATTGCTACTGTACTCGAAGGAGGAGGTAGTCAAGCAATGTACTATCCTGGATTTTTATCTAGGCCAGGGTCTGTTGCGATGGCTCAACCAAAAGTTAATGGGAGTTGTGGGGTGAGGCTGGCAAAATCTGAACCCCCATAAGGGTCTGAAAAAAATGTCTGTATAGCGGTTCGAAGAGGCAGTGATTAGATCTGTTTCGCCTTCCCTCTGCTTGAAGTAGGAGGGTCTTAATACTTACTTTAGTGAGTTACTGATGTTGTCCAAGCACACCTCACATGAAGGACGGGGCATTTGCTCCAAAATGCTAAATAAGGAACGGGCCTATTCCCTTTCCAACCACCCTTTCTCCTTCCCCTTTCCATCTTACTTGTAAGGACCAAGGCCTTGCTCAGATGGACATTAGCTCAGCGAGCACTCACAAGGGTCAAAATGTGCCAAGCAGGGTCTAGCTAATGCCTGCTGTTATTTAAGCACCTACACTGGTGGCATTATTGAGGCCACCCACAGATCCCAGGGACATTATCACTCCCGCAAAAAATCTGTCTTTTTACCCAGCCAGGTTCTTCTTCCTGGGGTCATGTAGAACTTGCCACCCCTTTGTGCCACTGCACGGTGACTGTAGCTAGGGAATTTGGTGGCATATGACAGGGAAGGGACTCTGCCAGCATTGACTTGGGTTTGCATTCGTGTCATTTTGCTCGTCCATTGTGCTCTAAATGCCACGTCCAGAGTGTGATGATTGTGTCTGTTTTCATTGTGCTTCCAAAGCAGATGAAGTGATGTCTCCCCATTTATTCAAAACTATGCAGAGATTTGCTTGGGAGCATTGCAAATTGTGGAAACTATTTAGTTATATCCTAAATAGTAAACCTAGGACTGCTGCCATGCTCCTGAGTTAAATGCAGGCCCTGGCTCTGTCCCAATGCCATGTAAGGATGAGATGTGAACATGGAGCAGCTGCCTACTGAAGCTTGGTTTTCAAGGGAGGAAGTTTAGGACTGGTCCCCTCTTTCTCTTTGAATATGAATGGTGACTGATCTGCACTGAATTTTAATATTATGGATGTAGCCTTACCAGGATAAAATTTTGTCTCTCAGTTTTCCATTAGAAATATTTGAGAGGATGTTACCTCTGTCATGGACTGGAGCAACAAAAGCAAGACAAGAACTTCTCAGCTGAACAAGCAATACATAAACCAAATGTTAGATACTTGCTTTGTCAAGACTGTACCTGTTTTGTCTCACATGTTAGAAAATTGTTTATGAGGAAAGCACGCTGCAAAGAAGAGCTCTACCTGAGGAGAAGCCATGCTAAACAAACTTGAAAGGCACCAGAACATTGCACAGGACAAATCGGTGGGGAAGTACCAGGGCTGTGAGTCATCTCACCTAATGCCTGAGTAGTCATTTAGCATCTCTCACAGTTGTAGGTGCATCCTGAACAAGCATAATTACCCCATCCTCTTCACTATCTACAAAGGAAGTCTAGAAAGCTAGCTTAGATGTAGCCACCTACACCACAAATGCCTAAATTTGGACAGAAAACTCTCACCCACATGTATACTTCCTGGAGTTCCAGGATCTAGCTGAAAGACCAGATTTTCCAGCTTTTGATCCGGTGTCAAAAACCCCACAGTTTTGATATCAGTAATTTTCAACACTCTGCTGATCTTAATTTCTGGTCCGTAACTTGCATGCACAGGCCTGGCTGGTGAATTTACCCCTCCAAACAACAGACTTTTCTTGAGTTATCTCTTCTAGGCCTTTTTCAAATAAACGACAGCTTGAAAAATGCACTGTTCTTTACAGAATGAATTTGAGTTTACTTTTACAGGTGCTCAGCATTAAAGCATCTCCCTCTAAGCCTTGAGTAGAAAATGGTGTGTCTTGAAGCTCCTAGCCCTCAATTTCTGAAATAAAAATCAGGGTACAACTTTCACATAACTTTTTGATTTGGATAGTGTTCTGCCATGATGTTACTACTCTGGATCTCTGATGAACGTGACAAGTAATGTTATGGACAATTATATTCAGTATTCATTTAGCCTCATAAGCACTTATTTGAAAGGATACATCCATAAGAGAAATGATATTTCGGCATGAAATGAGACTTAAGTTCTTGAATTTGATGTTCTTTGCTGAAAAAGGACAATAATAAGAAAGAAGTCATTGGGCAAACCCGCCTTTTATAAACTGAAGGTTGAAAATAGAATTTCCTAAGCAGAGATAGAGTCTTAGTTCCCATTGTCAGAGGACCTGTGCACTGGGAGATTAAGACTATAGAGAAACTATAGTCCAGACAGAGGAGGTATTTACTAAAGACATGACAGGAAACACTGCCCTTGTTTCATAAATCAGGAGATGAGGTTCAGAGAGCAACAGGTTTTCCACTGTACAAAGGGCCTGTAGCAGCCATGAGCTATGTCCAGGTCTTCCAAGTCCCAGCCCAGTGTCTGTTCTCCACAGCAGAGCAGGAGTGGAATGGAGACCTGGCCTCACTGAGCTGACCTGGGTTGTGTTGGAGGTAGCACAAGCTCAGGGTTAGACCATGGACCAGATGTTTTCCTGGCTCTGCCCTGGCTGGCTGGAGGACACCAGGCAGGAGTTATAACACAGCCTTTATTTTTCCATCTGTAAGTGAATTTGTTGGCAGCTTTTAAAGTTCTTTACAGCCCTTGAGTTTATCAGCACTTACTTTTTTTTAGTACAGCATTCAGAACATATTCGAGTTCTTCTGCAGATATCTCCATGTCCTAAAGTAAAAAAATAAAATAAAATTATAGCATCTGTTACTTGAATGTTTCTTTAATTAGACATACCAAAACCTCAGAAAACACAAACATCGCCCATCTGTACTTTATTGCAACTCAGGATAAGAGAACCATAAAAAAAAATACCAGAAAAGGCTAAAAACTAAAGGGTTGGCAAAATACAGGAGTGCATAAGGCTGTCTGAAGGAGATCTCAAGCAGGAACCATTGATTAAAAAAAAAAATAAACTGCAGCTGGACACTGAGCCATGTAGGCTTCCTCAGAGCTTGAGTTCTAGCTTTGGAACTCCTGCTTGCTCACCAAGGACTGCACCCTTCTTCATCTAGCCACAAGGCATGGTGACATCTGGTGCCCAAACAACACACTACAACTAAACATACTCCCAAAATACACATTTTTTTTTTTCATCTGGCCCTGGGTGGGAGCAGAAGTGTCCTCTTTCTTTCTACATCTTACTATGGCCTATAAGGGGTTTATACTCACCTCTCCTGAAATCTGCTCAAACAGTGCCCGGAACTGTGTTTCTTCTTCAGTTTCTTGTGGGCTTGGGGTTGGGTTTGGAGGCTGAAACATCAACCACACAAGTCATTATAAGAATTGTACAACTTGACATTTCTCTTGCACACAGTCCCTTTGTGCATCAGGGTACCATAATACATCTTAAAATAGGGGTACCCTTGCTCCTGAACGTTGCTAGACCTGAGGCCTTCCAGCCATCTAGCTGTTCAAGGGGAGTCCCAGCCCCTAATTTCCTTCACCTGGGTAATTGCATAGTACGCGATTGCCTTGGCTATCTCAAAACCAAGAGCCTTCATCCTGAAAAACACCTCTCCTCTCATCCCAGCCCTGCACCGCTGTGCTTCCCTAGTCTTTGAACAACCACAGCTCTACTGAGCAGTTTCCAGTGGCATCATCCAGAGACCTCTTGCTCCTCTTGAGAGCACCTGCCAGAGGTGGCTGCACTTTGGCACATTACTCAATTGGAGCACCTTCAACCAGCTGAGTGTCTCAGTGCAGTCACAGGGGTGTAGAGTTCAGGCTTCAGTCTACACCACTGAGCAGAAAGATGCAATAGTGTAGAGTCACTGCCATAGTTGGGATGGCCATGTGAACAGAGAGCAGTTCTTGGGCCAAAAGATGGAGAAAAAGAAGGCAACAGCACAACACAGGAAGCAAAGAACTGGACTTTGTTTTCTCTACCCAGAGAAGATACAACATGGGTGCTATTTAGCGTACTGCCAGCAGAATGGTCGTGGTGACACTGCTTGGCCACTTACACGTTTCTGACTGTATGTATGTTCCTCGTTTCCTTCTGCTCAAGTTTGGATGCAGCCCCCTAATGATACCAGGAGAGGTGAACAGATTTACTTTGCTACTGAACATGGCCCTGAGATCTCAGAAATGGAGACACACTTGTTAACTGGTCCCTGGAGGACAGTTTTACTAAAGAGAGATGCATGAGATCTTGGCTTAACTTGTTTCCACGGGAAAGTACACCACAATCAATGGCTTATTTGCAGGAATACACTTAAACAGGGTCTGACTCAGACTCAGCTGCAATTAACGCTCAGCAGGCAAACCAGGCCATTCAGAAACAAAAAGGATGTAATCATTTCAGCAGGCACACGTGTATCGAGCGTGCCCTACCAAGCCCTGCGGATATTGATAAGTAAAATATTAATATTTTGTATGCAAAATGAATGCAGGTCTGAGGAAATTCTCTTGCCTTATATTTTTTCATAATAAATAGAATTTTAAAAGATGTGAATGGCCACATGCCTCCCTGATGTTCACGGGTGCACTTTCAGAACACCTGTGGTGGCTGACACCCGCCTCCAGTGCTGGCTGACGCTGACTGCCTTGAAGATGATGCAGAAGCATAACAATTATGATTTCGATTCTTACAGCTTTTTTACCATATTCAGCAGAACTGACTGTTTCAGTTCACAAACACAAAGCTGGCAATTGTGTAACATTCCTGTGAAATGAACATGTTTTAGCCAAAGACAGTAAAAGCAGTGTGTGCTGGCTTCTGCTGAGCTATTCTCTTGCTATTTTAACTCTGTAGACTTACCTCAGGGAGATCAATGGCAACATTTTCATCCAGATCCCTGGAGAAAAGAAAACCTTATTCAGTATCTGAAAATACTCAACATCTGCTTGGGGTGGAAGCTTGCTTGTTACATTTTCCAGAGGTGAACGATAAAGCTGCATTTTTTACTGAACATGTTAAGTTTAGGTAAAATTCATCAGACTATCAGATTTTTGCACTGTTTAAATTTTGGTCTAAGCCCTTAAAACAGAGTCTAAGTAGGATTCAGGGAGGGCACAGCTGTGCATGCTGTCTGCTAATCTCATTCTTTATTCATTGTGTACACTCTTTTTCCTCAATACCCCTTTTAAAATATAAAATTGACATTTGGACAAACTTTGAGAGTAAACAAACACTGCCATATTCACAGATTACTGAATAGTATCAGGCAGCCAGAAACTCTACTTTGTCAAGCTTCCAGAAGATTCACCATGGCAAGCCCTATTTCCCCAACTCCTAGACTCCTCTCAAAAAAAGTCAGGTTTAGCAAAAATGGTGAAATGCAAAAAAAAAACCATCAGGAGCTTCCCATGCTAGGGCTCTGTCATAGGACTGGGAACCCAGCAGCCAGATGCTCCCAAGAGAGCCACTGGCCCCACACATGGGCAAGTGCTGGAGGGTTTGGGACTCACTGCTGACTTACTCAGTGATGGCCTTCTTCTCGGAGAAAATCCTCAGGCAGAAATCTGCCTCCTTGTGTGGCTCAAACGTGGTCGGAACAAGAATGTAATCGCCTGGTGGTAGCTTGAATCGATTGGATACTTCCCTTAAATTTATGTAGGTTTTACTCCTGGCCTTGGAGGGATGGAGAAGATTCACCATGGCAAGCCCTATTTCCCCAACTCCTAGACTCCTCTCAAAAAAAGTCAGGTTTAGCAAAAATGGTGAAATGCAAAAAAAAAACCATCAGGAGCTTCCCATGCTAGGGCTCTGTCATAGGACTGGGAACCCAGCAGCCAGATGCTCCCAAGAGAGCCACTGGCCCCACACATGGGCAAGTGCTGGAGGGTTTGGGACTCACTGCTGACTTACTCAGTGATGGCCTTCTTCTCGGAGAAAATCCTCAGGCAGAAATCTGCCTCCTTGTGTGGCTCAAACGTGGTCGGAACAAGAATGTAATCGCCTGGTGGTAGCTTGAATCGATTGGATACTTCCCTTAAATTTATGTAGGTTTTACTCCTGGCCTTGGAGGGATGGTACCTGAAGAAGTCTTTGCCCAAGTGTCCATCTCGTCCAGGGCTCTATGGGTGGAAATGAAGGCAGTGTTGCACTGGCTGTTGTCTGCTGGGGGTCATTCTTGCCCTCTTACCAATCATGGTGTCAAACTTTGCCTGGCACAAGCTTGTGCCCTGATCATAACCCTGAGTCTCATCCCTTCACTCGAGTGCCTGCAGCAACCTATGTCCCACCTTATGGCAAGGACCCATTATCGGTGGTCCTTTCCCACCCAGAAGGCAGTCTAAGAGGACATGGGGACATTGGCTTCCTGCTTAAACATTCCCTGCCATTGAATATCACCATCCCAGGTGGGGTGTCACAGAGCAGTGACAACAGATTTCCCAGTCCCAGCCTCACTATCCCAGGTGGGGTGTCACAGAGCAGTGACAGCAGATTTCCCAGGGACAGACACCCCTGTGTGACATGAGCACCAAGAGGCTCAAAAGAAGCAAAATCCCCTCTCTGGGAGCCAATCAGGGGATGACAGAATCATGGGGCCGAGGAGTCTATCCTGGGAACCCACGGCCCCATGGGGACTCCTAAATCCTCCTCTGAGAGGATTCTAACCCAGCCAAGTCAAAATTCTCTGTGGGTCTTGATGTAACCGAGAAAATTATTTTAAGAGCAACTGCCCTAAAAATACATGATGACTGGCAGGGGTACAAACCCAGAGAAAGATGCTAATACTGATAGTGTGGCTACTGCACTATAAAAGCAACAGAGTACCTCATAAATAGAGTAGCCGATGGTCAGCATTTCAGCGCCAAGCTTCTTGAGTTTACGGCGATCCTTTTGCATCAGCGCTGCTATGAATGTGCACTCATCTTGCCCATCGTCTTTCTCTGTCAAATGCAGCTTGATTTGTGGATTTGTCCAGAAAGTGTCTGCCAATGTAAAGAATACCAGAGAATTTCTTGCCTCAGAATAATAACACCATCCCTACTACCGAAAAAAAAAAAAAAAAAAAAAGACAAAAAGGACAATTAAGCTGAGGTTTTGCTAAAATTTGGTTTTTCCATTAGCTGTCATGCTTCTTTCCATTAAGCTCTGCAGAAAATAAGCCAAAGTCCTTCATGGAACTAGGTGCAGAAAAGATTTTAGGCCTGATATTTTATTAAGTTACCATGGTTTAAATAAAGTTGCTAGATGGGATTTTGCTAAAAGAACATAGCTACAGTGATCCCATAGTGCTGGTGCCAGCCTGGAGTAACACAGTTCAGATGCGTGATGTTGCTTCAGAACCACATAAACATGGTGGTTGAGCTCGGTTTTCGTCTCATTTTACACTTACTGCTGCAGTTTAGTTGACTTATTTGGAGCTAGTCCTGCTCATGCAAATGTAAATGAGAGGCAAATCAGATCCAACGAACTTGAGAGCAAAGAAAGCAGCTCTTTTACCACAAAGTCCCAAGTGGGACCATATGAACATTTGTCCCTTTGGCTGATTCCTGCTAGTTGAGACTCAGCTTGCACCCACGATTCTGGCTATGGGGTAACAGAAGAGGTGGCTGAGGGTGGATAAGGACTTCAGTGCCTGCTTCTCATTTTCAAAGCACCATTTATTTACCTAGAAAGTTTCTGCATCCTCCTGCAGTGGATCCCCGGACCCAGCTTCCCTGGTGGATGGTCACCTCCCATTTGTGGACAGTGCTGTCTTCCAGGGCATCTGGAGTCAGGTTGCAGATCTCAACCTTATCAAAATGCACTTTGAAGTCTTCAAATTTCATCCTGAGCAAAAGACATGGGAATGAACAGACAGTCATTCACTTCAGTGAAGGATGTTCAACAGAAGTACCTACAGTGTCGCATGGCCAGATCACCAGCTTGTGTGGATCTTAACAGTTTCAGTGACCATGGAGATATGCCAATGTACACCAGGCAAGAATCCACTCACTGTGGTGTAAAACACAGGCAACACTATTGTCTAGGTCTGATTCTGACAGCTCTTACACCCTTCTTTTACACTATACCTCCGTTGATTTTATTCAGTTACAGCTGAGTATGAGATGAAAAGAAGTAACAATGGCACAAAACCTACTGTGGAAAGAGGTATTTCACCAACATCATCCTGGACTTAATGTCTGCATCTATATTGCTAGAGAGCCAACCAAAGGATGGCAGGTGTCTGTGCAGGAGCCATGCCTGCCCACCAATCCGTTGTGTGTTCAACACCAGCTGCATGACAGCACTACAAGGGAAACACGGTGATGGATTAGCCAAGCCACGGCATGACTAGCCTGTCTGCACTGCAGTTAAGGTCACATTTGGGCCTCTGCTAAGGTGCCTAGGATCAAGTTGTTCACCCTCCCTTCCTCTGTGGGTGCCTGGGACCTTGTCCTAGCAAAAACATACACGAAATGTGAGGGACAAAAAAAGGTGTGTTTGGACTTGAGTAGCAGTTCCAACCTGCCTTTGAAGGTGGCATGAACACTGCTGCCTGCTACCGTGTCAGGAAGATTGCGCTACATCTATTTTATGCCCAAAGTGAACACATATACATGACCATGGGGAGAAGGAAGTAAATGCCGGAATACAGATGTGTTTGAGTTTTGAACTCTTGAGGACCTAATTACTTTGCTACACACTATTTCTAGCAGCAGGTTTCAAATCAGGTCATGAAAATTACCCCAGCTTTTCAGTGAGGGAAGTCAAGTCACCACCAGGAATGGTGAATAGACTGGCTGAAAGTCCTCAGCGGCTCAATATAGCTCAGTCTCCACCTCCTCAGCTAAACCGCATCAGCAAGGACCATAGCAGGAGCAAAGTGAAAGCTGGAGAGAAGCATCTATGCTCATCTCTTTCCTCATCTAGCCATTTTAATGTCTTTAGGGATACATCATATCCATTGCTCATGCAAAGTGTGTATGTGAAGCCTGATGGAGAAACCATCAAGGTGTGGCTTAGAGGGGGCAAAGGGGCAAACGCTCCTTACAGAAATACACACAAGTCAAAAGGCATTAGGAAAAGTAAGTTTGATGGACTGGGTGGAGGGTTTAGCTGGTATCAAACTTGCCTGACTGGTTTTGGAAGCATTTCTTATCTTCTGCATATTATTTTTGTCCATTTAACCCCTTCAGTGAAAATTTCAGTTCCAATGGGTTTTGTTTCTGCTCTGAATGGCTGAGATAGTGGATGAGGAAAGACAACATTTCTCTAGGTATGCTAAAATTCATTAATTTTTATTTGCCTTCTGAGGACTTACTTAACTATCAGCTTAGCTCTGTTGGACAGATGACTTTTTCAAGAATTTCATTGCTCATTTGATGCCTACTTGCACATTTGTACCTCTGTTACATAGTCAGGCTTTAAGTCATGCCCTGTACTGAGAGATTTGCGGGAGTTACTTGGGTTCCAGGTAAACTCTGTGTCTCCTTTCCATTCACTCTGTAAGCTCCAGATGTGGCCAGATCAAAAACAGAAAAAAAAAACCCAGAACACTAAAGGTTTTTGGAAAAAATGGAAATGTCCTACTGCATTTGCAATGTAAGTAGCAAAATAACTCAAAATATCCTATGTAAAAATACCTAGATAATGGATCGGTCACTGGACCTACTTCTCTCCAGAGCTATTAAAGTTTGGGATAAATAATTTTATCCAACTTAACATCCTGTGTTGTCTATTTCAAATCACTTTTCAGACCTAAAGGTGTACTTTGGTTTAACTTGCAAGAAAAATTTGGAATAGCCCCACTGCATACCTTTCTAGATTTATGTCTGCATAAAAGAGATGAGCATCTGGCCCTAGAAAATATGATCAGTGTTGTCAGTAGTGCACAGGATGGTTGATATAAAGGGGGTGATTGTGTGCAAGTCAGCCATCTGCTCTGTCTGAGATTGTGAATTTGGCATGAAGAACTCTTCACACTTCTAAAGCAATTTCCACCACTTTTTTGTCTATTTCATTTCATCTTTTCTTAAGCCTTTCCATCATTTCACACATATCTTAGTGTTCTTTTACTTTCTGTAACAAGTACTATTGCTTTTCAGGACTCCCCTCTGTTTCAGTGAATGCCTAGTGTCAGCCTTGAAGGCATTTCATGGGTGATACAGTGCAATAAAATGCTCTCTTCTGTAGATCCTGCCTTTGTTCACAGTAAGGATTTAAAGGGTGTTATATTCATGGCATATACACAGGATTTGAAATATGCTAATGCTATTAACTAAGTTGACTTTCAAAAAGGTTTTGTTATTAAAATAGACATGTGCACACATGAAACACACAGAAAATCAAGTGAGCATTCTACCAGCACTCTCCTAGGAGGAAACTGAGCACATCCTTACTTAGAGACTTCTCCTTTATCACTCATTTTGGCTACTTGCACCTTGATTTCTCATTAGAGCCACACACTTCAAAATCCCGTGCCTTACCAGAACTCTCCGTCATCCAGCGCTGCCTGAGACAGGCGTTTCTGCTCCGACAGGCTGACAGAATGCCACTCTGGAGAGCTGCAAGAAAACAAACCCAAGCTTTACTCTAAGTATGTGGTGATTAATTTCCCCTGGCTCAAAATGACTGGTTGGACACAGCAGCAGGCTGCTCTTCTTCCAGATGTGTTGTATCTGAGCAGCACACACACAAACACGGATGCCTTTAAGAGGTTTCCTGCACCCTGCTGTCACTTCACATGGTGGCAGGGACCCAACTAATGTAGCTGGGAGCAGGAGAGTGCCAAAGGTCCCAAAGCTTCTCCAGAATGGTCCTGCATGAGATATTCCCTGCACTCAGAGTTGGGATTGTTGTCACGTGTTGGGGATGGGTATAATAGGGCTATTGGTAAACCTCAAGGTGTTGGTAAATCACATCTCTCCTAAAATCTGTTATCCATCTGCAACACCATCTCTTCTTTTAGGCTTGTCAGTAATTTAAGGCCAGATGTTCCTTCAAAATTGAGTCAATGGGAACCAGATAGGCTCCTTTCCCTGTACAGAGAGATTTGCTAAAATAACAGGTTCCAGGTAAAGTCTTCACCTCTATTTCACTCACCCCGACAGCTCCTGCTGTTTTGACCTGGTAGGTCAAAACCAAAGAAAAACCTGTTTTTTGGAAAAACTGGAAATACCCTACTGTGTTTCCAATCTGACATGATAAACAGGGATTAGCAGGCACCTTATGCTGAGGTTTTTAATTCCAGAAACCACTGCAAAATGTTAACACAACTTCCTATATTGATCTGTGAGTCCCCCTGCATCTTGAGTTCTAGAAAACCTCACAAGTGCAGAATCAGAGTTCTGCTCTGCAGAGACAGTCTTTTCAGTAAACAGCCTGAATTGCCAGATGCCTGTCCTGATCTTAACCTCTCAATTTTTTTTGAGATTTAATCACTCATTATACACACCAATTATCCACATTTTTCTTTTTCAAGTCAACAAACAATCGGAGCTGATGTGGAAGTATTTAATTTATTTCTGAGTCATGTTAAGGACAGGGACATGCAAAGTAGACCTACAGAGGACTACATCTCAGTAATTTTAAAGGACCAGCTAGGTTATGGTTTCTCTTTTCTACATCTGTGTCATAAGAAACACTTGGTAGAATAAACTGAAACAAAAATGAAGCGGTGCATGTGTGCAAAAATATATATAGAAGTGTATTTTTTGGGGGAAAGTAGTGTTGGTTTTCACTATATAATCTTTTTTTTTAATTTTGCAATTCTGTTTCCTTTGGTAGTAAAAACAGACTGGTTTTTAGACCAATCCTGTTGTGCCTTCCTCAACTTTGGCAGGTACTTAGAGGGGGTTCTACAATATCTGTTTTCAGTTTACCTGCAGCAGGGCAAAATATGGATGTTGTGTTACAAGTACAACAACAACAGACTTGCCGAAAAAATAAATTAAAAAAAATCACTCCAAATCTATATTTTTTTCCAGTCATGAGTGTCTTAAAATTAACTTTCCCCATTTATATTAATGCATGATTTTTCCTAATGCTAGATTTTGGGGGCTAAATAGCCTTGACAGTGTCCCCTTGATTGAGTAGCTTTGGAAATACTGAGGGTGATATGTAACATGGCAGTAATACTGTTAAGCATGTGTAAACTCTTGATTTAACTTTCTGTGGGATATCTGGGGCTGCAGAAAGCTGGCTGTGGAGCAGCAGCTGGGATTTAGGCTTTGCAAGACCAAATGTATGTGTATGGGGTAGCTCACGCACTTGTCACTCCAAGGGCCATTCCACTCAACCTGTCCCCAGGGGTTCCTTATCCTTATGAGCTGCACTTGCCGACCCCGATAGCTCACCTGGGGAAAAAGGAAATAGAGAAAATGTCAAGTGTCAGTAGCTAGGAAGCAAGTCTCCAGCACATAAAGGCTGGGCAAGCTGCTGTAACAGCTGGGAAAAAGGTACAGACTGCAACAGGAGATGTGGGAGGGAAAGATGGATGGGAATTTGCAAAACTTTCCCAGGGTAACTCCCCGAATCACCTGAGGTCAGGGGACACCCCCTTATCTTCTCCCCAGGTCTCTCCCTGCTCCGCGCTGCTGAACATACCTCATCGATGCCAGTCACGGAGTAAGCATGGCCCTTTATAAGGCCAAAGGGGGTCTTGGCTTCTGACTCAGCAGCACTGTTGGTCTGAAATAGGGGGAAAAAAAGTGTGAATCTCTCTCTCTTCAGAGTGAGATTGCAAGTAGTGCCACCTGGTCACTTCCAAGCATCAGGTGGGAGGTCAGCGGCTAACAAGTACTATGAACAGGGGACTTGTCTTTCTGCTTGATGCAACAGTGCTGGTGCAATGGTGTCCTTTGAGGAAAGGAAAGGATTTTATTTATTTTTTTTTTTTAGAATTGTTCACTCAGAGGGAAAATAAGGTGATTCCAGGCTGAAATACCTTCTCTGCCCGTGTGATTTTGTATCAATTTCATTTACATTTCTGGGATCTCAATCTAAACTTGCATTGAAATGTAGTTTCTGTCAGTTTAAGGGTTGGGGAAATGTGCTCTCAGACCAAGATCAGATGTTAATATGGTCTCATTTCTTGTAAAAATACATTGATGGAGCAGTGATGGCAGTGAAGGGTATTCTACTCTATTTCAATGAATACTTAGTTAGCCTTTGCAAGCAGCAAAGCCTCATCAGGAGAGAAAAGGAAACTCAAATCAGAAAAATCTGAACCCCAAAGCTGAGGGTACAGTCTTGAGTAAAAGAGAGAGCTTGTGGGAAATCTCTGCTTTCAGTCAGGCAGGCAATGGGTTTGGGTCTCCCTCAGTTTGGCCAAATGTTCAATGATGAGGCTCTTGGGCAGAGGGTGAACGAAAGCTTCCTTCCTTCTGCCCCAGTCTGGGCACTTCTCTTGCCTTTGTTATAACTGTCTGAAAGGGAAATTAAACATTTTGTGCTTGGTGGGATTTTCCATTTGCTCTGAAACATTTTTCTCCAGCTGCTCTTTCTGGTGGAGAAACCCTGCATACATATATTTCAAACCACCTTTCCCACTGAGCACAGTGAGCAAGGACCAGAAGATGAAAATTGTCTTGAGTCCCCCAAGTCCCCACAGGTGTTGTTACAGAATTCAGGGCTGAAACAAAGCCCAATTTTGTAGTCTCTAGAACCAGTAAGCCCTCAAAAAGCTATGGCCAATTTAAATGTTAAGTGACCAAATAAGTCAGGAAATAAAGTTCACTCTGTCACTGAGTGCTCATACTCATGTCATTATTGCTATAAATACAGTGGCCATCACGTGCTGAAAAGTGATGAATCTTTTTCTTTTCTTTTAAACAACTGTACTAAGGACTACATTAATACTATGTATCTATCAGCTCACAACTATTATTTGCAGAATTAATGCATATCCATCTACTTGTCATTCATTTAATCAGATTTTAAAAAGTAGGTATTTTAACACAGAAACCACAAAACTGAGAAGATCCCATTTCTTACTTACATCAATAGAGCAGCCCACCATTGAGCACCTTTTCAGAGCTTTCTCCAGGATTTCATAGAAATTGTCAGGAGCCTTTTTAACTTCATACATTTCTCCTACACCCCCAGTGAAATCCTCCATGGCTTCTATTGTACTGCCTCCTTTCAGAGCCTCGTAGCTGCCGTTGAGCCTGGAAAACACATGCTGATCATGAGACATGCTTTCAAAACTTTGAAGATAGATATCCATGTTTGAGAGCTTTCTCACACGGGTGTAAAATCGCAGCAATGGCACTGAAGCCAAAAGAAGTACCCCAGAATGCACCCAGGATCTATGGGAGGAGTACTGGGATCATTCTGCTTTCCTTCTTAATTACATTTTTAAGTCATTCATTTCTCCACATCCTTAAAGCCTGCAGCTTTTCTTTCTTTAGTGCCAGTTGTCAGGTTGGCAAGGACTGAATAACCTTGCGCGTCAATGGCTTGTTACCTGTCAAATCATTTAAAAATTCAGAGTTAGCCAGAAACATCAATTGAGGTCTCAGCAGAGACACAAATGGCAGGATTCAGGCTTTGGTATCAGCTAGGGTTGTATCTAATGATGTGCTGGAAGCTGGACCAGCTCACAAGAGATAGACATAACATCTTTCGATTACGGCAGCAGCAAATGCAAAAAAAAACCCCCCACCACTGACAAAAAGTACTGGGTAGAAGCTGTTCACTTGAGTTGTGAATAATATATGTACAAATCGTGGATAATGTATGCACAAATAGTGAGTCACGTATGCTTAGTCACTTACTTGGCATAGGCTTTCTCTAGTAAGGCACTCCAAAATTCATTGTGTTCAGCTGAGTGCAGGAAAACCAAACGGCCTTTGAAGGTGGGTAATCGGTCATCAATCACGATGTCCAGCCACTCGTTGTGCTGCCAGAACTATGTAGAAAGGTTAGGGCACGAGTTTGCTGACTGCATGTCATTTCCTGAGTGTAGGACTCTGTTGGCCTTATTGTACTTCTAACTGTAAATTACCGGCAATCTTAGTCTTGATTGGAAGTCATAGGTATATCGTTCATTCCCACTATACCACAATAGACTGTCCTGAAGGAAGGGTAATCTATCTTAAGGAAAAACTAATACTAAAAGTGTAGAGCTGTACTGTAGCTCCTTGTCTGGATAACGTCACTCACGTAGGTCACCACGTGATCCAAGACACCTTTAAGACACACACATATAACAGATCGAGACCAACTCCTTTAAGTCCTTATATCCTAAGTGGGGTCTGTGTGCCCAGGAAAATGTAAAATAAGTTCTAAACCATATATCTCTTCACAGAGCAGAAGTGGCTATGTGCGTGCCTGTGGGACTGACATAGCCCTCTAGGATGCTCCTCAAAACACAAACAACTGTGTAGGCACAGCAATCCCTGTTTTTTCAATGTCTCCCCTATAATAACCAGCAACTCCACTGCAAAATACACCATGACATGTAATGATCAGCTGCTCAGAAATGAGTTCATGCTATGCCAGACGTTCATCTTACCTGGAAGTGGAATATTCCAGCATAATCCGGCCCAAAGTTTTGATCCAGCGGCACCACTCTTGCTAGAGTTTTTTCATTCAGTGTAAGAGAAGCTATGGCTGCTAACAGCCAGCAGTCACCTGTGAATCCAGAAGGGAGAAAAAAGCACTAATTTTCTTCCCTTCAGGAGGAGAAGGTGGTGGTATAGGGGTCAGAGGAGATGTTATGGAAGTTAGCTGCCACCCCTCCTGAAATCCAAAAGACAGCCCATGTGTCCCCAGGAAACACACACCTGCCCAGCCAGGGCAGAGACTGTGCTGCAGCTGGACAGTCTGCAGTTGGTGCTGGTGGACAAAAAGGCTCCCTTGGGCTCACAGTACCCTCGTGTGGGGATCCTGCCCTGACTTTGAATCCTACTGTACCGGGATGGTCCCTGGCATGGATGGGAGGGTGCTACCGAAGAGGTGTCTGTGGGCAGGGTGAGCATGGCCAGTACCTTCAGCTTCACTGCTCCCACCAGTTCAGGAGGGACAACAATCCTCTCATGTGTGAGGGTGTTCTTCCTGCTCCTCATGGGGTGTAGGCATGAATGTGTTCACCCAGGGGGAATCACTCACCGAGATCCCCTTGGCAAATGTCAGTTCTCGTGGCTCCTCCAAGGATAAACTTGGGGTCTTTCACAATGTCCTGAGAGGGTGGGAGAGAGACACAGAAACGACTCAGAACATGCCAGGAAAATATCACCACCACTCTGAGACTGGATGTGCAGCACAGTGTGTGCCACATCAGCTGTATTATTCTGGAGCAGTGTAACCACCACAAAAAAACTAGATGGGGAATCTTCGCTAATTAATTATAATGTAGAGCAATTAAAGAATCAACTATCCTCATTTTTTTTTCATAATTACTTGGCTGACAATTAAAGGCTGGCATCCTTTATTCTTCTGTAGGCAATTGTTAAAGTATCATAGCACATCCTGGTCCAGAATCTCAATGTTAGGATACAACCCTGGCTAAAGGGGATTATTTTGTTTGTTTGTTTTCCAAAATGATTGGAAAACCTAAAATTGGCAATTAACCTTTAAATGCACTATTAAGCCATTTATTTATCTGCAGGTAATACCTGGTACATACAGTGTCTGACAATAATGAGACCATTTCCTCCTCAAATGAGCAAACAACAAAGCTAGACTCCAGCCTTGTTTGTTTTACCAAGTTAGTTTTTAGTAGGAGGTAACACCACCCACCCTGTGTGCTCAGAGGTCAGAGGGACTCCTGCTCATGGTGGCATTCTTAAGCATTTATTTGATTGTTTTAGTTCAATTACTAGTACCTCAGCCGGATAGAAAAATTACAAGGGTAAACCAACAAATGTTGCAGGAATTCCCCTTTTTTCTCACCTTTGCCATGAACTGTAAATTGAATTTAGAAGACTGAACAGAATAGCAAAGGGAAGAGGAGGGTCTCTCATATATTAATAGAGAATATGGCTGTAGTTAATCAGTCTGCCCTGATGGCATGAAGCAGACCAGACCCTTCTGCATAAGCCACAGGAGCTTCCAAAAAGTAAAAAAAGTTAAGGGCGGGGTGGGGGGAGGGAGTGGAATAGAAGAACACATTCACTCATTTAACCCCTGCATTGGCCTAGGAGACTGAGTTGCTTTGGTTCACAGCACTGCATTTTGTGAGGCCATCAGGGCAAGGTGCTGGTACTTTTGTTCAGCTTTCTGCACTTATTGCTGAAGCATCTGCTGCTGGCCACCACTGGAGCCAGGACATGGTCCCCAGTGAACCAGCACTGCTCCTGCAAAGCTCTCACTGCAGAAGTGATTTTCAGGAGGAAGCTGGTTTACATATTTTTTGTTTGTCTTTGCCAGGGAGGGGGTGACGACCAGGATGTGCCTCAGCCACAGTTGCCCTGGAGGAGGTACCGCAGCACGGTGGTGTCCCCAGTGTGTGGAGCAAAGGGAAATCAAACAGCAGCCCCTCCTTACCTGGCCCGCCTGCTTGTTAAATACACTCAGTCTGGTGGGGACTGGACATGAGCAATAGGAAATGCAGCTCATTGCCTTTAGGCATAAATATAACAACAGCTGATAAGGTAGCTCAATTTTAATAACATGCCTTGTTTTAGCATCATTGCTCCTGGGGAACACAATTCTCGTGGCAAGAACTGTATTTAGCTGTTACCAAGAAACTCTGTTTGTTAGCAAGGGACGAGATAAAAACCTTTCCACTGACATGGGTCTGAACATTAGATTGATGGCTCATTGCTTATTACACAGCTCTACAACTGACACATGGAAAAATATTTTCAATCTCTTATGGCTAAAGCAAACAAAATAATAATAATAAAATCAATAAGAAGGAATTGAAAGGATTTCGACTGGATTCTCTGCTACACAAAAGAAGACGACACCACAGTTTTTGAGTGGATGTTGCAAAAACAATATTAATTTTAAAGGGATTTTCCGACTGGATGGTATAATAATGTGTATCAAGGCTTTCATGGCATGTTAAAAGACAAAACCCAGAGGTGGATTTTGCATTCACACACAGCACAGAGTAATTCAAGGATTCACCTGCACAAGGATGTTGCTTAGAAGTAGGGACATGCAGCCCTCAGAGAGATTAAACAAGGTGATCCAGGACTCTCCTGATACTACATCAAACCTATGTTTCTTTAGACTCCAAGGAAAACAAATTTCATCCCCTGCACCTCTGTTTCACATTCGTAGCAGGGGTACATGGAGATCTAAGGAAGGCTGATGCTGGGGCTGTTTAGGTGTTTCTGTGATTACATTTTTCTGCCTGGTTCCAGCAGACGGTACCTGTCATGCTGGTTGCCAGTGGCTGAAATAAGAATTTCCTTTCTATTTCTTCCTGTAGACCATGGGTTCATTTGACACTGATAAAGAACATTTGTCTTTCCTTTTTTGGGTTGTTTTTTTTTTTTCATTCTTTAACCTATATGTCTAACTTTCCTAGACGCTGAGCTGTTGAATTTATCACAGTAATTTGTTTAGATATAAATTAAGAAGGAAAAAGGAAAGGGGAAGGGAAGGGAAGGGATATACAAAGAGAAAAGGATCTTCTATTTTTCAGATTATCAAAAAATTTTGATAAATTATAGTTTCAAAGGTCTAATTTGTAATGAAAAGGGATTTCTACACAAAATCATGAAATATTTTTCTGAATTTTAGAGCACTTAAGATTTATGCAGAAAGTGAGATATTCAGCTGCAGATCCATGTAGCACACGTTGTAGTGGGAGATTTACAGATTAGGGCTAGCTGAGAGTCTTGTTCACACTGCATATAAACATGCAGCTATACGCATGTCGAAATAACAAGAAAGTCTCACTAAGTCATTACTAAAGATTAAGCTCTATCAGGGTGTAAATCTGAAGACTAACATTATTTGACCCTGAAATCTCCTGCGTGTATTGTGCTGCACTTCATTCAAGCTACTGTAAAATCCTGGTAGGAGAGGCAGTAAAACCAGTCGCCGTGAAAAGCAGTTTGAACACAGATACCCTGCAGAGAGGCCGTGTGCTTGTGCTTGCCCTCTCCAGCACCGCAGCTTTGTTAGCTGAGCCATGGCATCTAACCTGGCTCCAGGCCTTTATCCCACTTGCAAAGTAAAACGTGTTAACTTGAAATGGTGTTACTGTGCCTCTATTTTGCTACTGTTCCTGAGGGATAATAGGGATGAAACTGATTTAGCTCAAATGCTGAGGAACCAGAGAAAAGCATAACCAAAACCTTGTCCTTACACATCCTCTCAGCCTCCCCTGAGCTTTATTTCTCGCTGTGCACCTCACAAATGTTCACCGTTTTGCATGGTGGGAATTGGAGCGTAAAGTCAGATCCTGTTCCAGGTAACTTACTCATCCTGGAAATGTTTCCAGTTCAGCGTGCAAAGATCCTGAAGGAGGGAGTGACAACTACAACAGACAGACCACTCTCTGCTGTCCCTGGGTACCACACACAAGGACACACAAGCTCTCAGCTGCTCCTGATCACATTTTAAAGCAAAGTTTAACTCCTGTGAAGCCCCAAATGGAAAAAAAAAAAACAACACACAAACCAGCATGTAATGGCTGGCCAAAGAAAAATCATACTTTCTGATTTAGTGTCACAGGCACTTGCATTTTTTATGCCTCACAGCGCTCCAGAGTCACCACACCAAAAGCATCTCAGCCCCACAGCCCTGCTCTCTGTGCTGGGGGGCAGCCCCACAGCCCACCTGGCTTTTGGGGCACAGGTAGGCAAGGCAAGTAGCAGTGTCTGCAGGGACTACACTTATCATGTGTAGGGAACTCCCATTTTTTCATAGCTGAAACTTACCCAGGAGTAATAGCTTTAATTCTGCTCTGTGGCAGCACTATGTTAGCTGTCAGATGCTGAGGTATTTGAATGCCTATCACTGTGGACTAAGTTAAGCCAAAATTTAAACCCTTTTTTAAGCTCATTTTGTTCTCTTTGTCCCTTAGTATCAGTGCTGCCAAAGGAAAGTTTTCTAGTAAGGGAGAAGCTTTTAGACTATGAAGAAAAAGAGAGTAAACACCAGTCATTAGCAAAGAAATGAAATGTAGCCACAAATTTTCCGTGGCTATTAGTTACAGTTAGGCGGGGAGAATAAACCTGGAGTGATGTTGGGTTTGTGATCCGAGAGCATGTGACTAGTGAAGCTTCAGGCTCTTGCTGTGTTATTAATGATTGTTATGCAAGATGCATTAAGAGATACTCATCAGGCCCTTGGCTACTGCTGAATGGCTCAGTAACCATGGCATGTATTCGTAATCTCCCAGTGTTTCATGATGCAAGTGAGCAAGTAAAGTACGAAGGTCTCATACTCTAAAAGTTAAAATGTCTGAATTTTTTAGTTTAACCTTAATTATGAATTTCCTACATTAATGACATGATTTTTACATAGTTAGAACATCATAATGTTTTTTACCCTTAATTCCTTGCATGTCCTCTTATTTTCATCTTAACATTGCTATTGTTTGGCAATAATGCGAGAGGAGGCTGATTACAGGCTGTTTATGCACATACATAAATATACATGCATAAAGTGTGGCTATGCAACGAGCTACATATAAAACATGGGGTGAAGTCTTCCAAGCCCTCTCATCCCACAGCTTGAGCTCTTTGTGGGTGACATCCCCATCCCGTGCCGCTGTCCCTGAGGTGGGGAAGGGTTTCCCTCCCCACCGCACTTTGCCTCCACATCTCCCTGAACGTGCCATGTCTTTGGTGAGATCCCAAAGCACAGCAATGTCTGTGATGACTTTTGGTAGGATGAAAGGAAAGAAAGGCACGTCCTCCTCTGCACAATGTCATACTCACCCCAGGCCTCTTCCAGATGAAGGGGACAGGCGGCTTCTCACTGAAGAAGAGAGAGGAGTTGCAGGCGGGAAAGTCGGGGTCCTCAAAAAGGACCCCCCTGCGCAGGCAGTCCTGCTTCAGCTCCTCGTAGGTCTTCCCCGAGCTGGTGGTGGGACGCACAGCCCCGGGCACTGCGGGCAGCCTTGGCTTCGAGTCCTGGTGCAGGTAGGGCATGGCTCCCTCCCTGAGACAAATCCCTGGGGACCTGAGGCTGGGCAGGCAGTGGGGGGCAGAAGGCAGGGGGGGGAACAGGAGGAGAAAGAATAGGGAGCAAAAATACCCCTAGAGGCTTGCCAAGGAAAAGGGGGAGGAAAGGAGTGTGCTGTGGGGAAGCCAGTGGTGTCCTCCAGCCCTCCTCCGCCGTGTCTCCTTGAACTGCAGGGCGAGACTGACCTCCCTGGTGCTCCCAAGCAGCAGCAGAGACGAACACCCTGAAAGCAAACAGGGAAGGAAAGCGGAAAGCGGCCAGCCCCAGCCACACCGGCAGCAGGAGCAGCCCCGATCTCCTCCCCTGGGGCAGAGCCACTCTGTCTGCCTGGCCAGAAGGGTGTGTGCAGGGCCTGGCATCCCTCCCCATGGGCACGGGACGGGGGAGAGGTTGCTGCTGGGCTGGGGATGACTTCAAGGTGCACAGCAGCCTGCCAGAGCCCTCATTCATGCAGTGGTGGCAAGACCCTAGAGACAGACCAAAGCCACATGGCAGAGTGTGGCCACTGTGTCCCACAGATGGGAGAGCAGCCCAGCATGGCTGGTGGCATGGCCCTCTTGGTGGGCAGGTGTTTCTCTTGTCAGGAGAACAGCAGAGCCCAGAAGTGACCGTGGCTGCTCCACCACTGGGGACCCAGCTGCGGGGCAAGGACATGGTGTGTGCAGGAGGGCTGGCCCCAGGTTTGGGGTGGTGGTAGATGGTATGGAGGGCTCAGAGCAGGATGTTTAGTTTTCATGACAACACAGGCATTGAGATTCTGGAGCACATCCAGAGAAGTGCAACAAAGCTGGTGAAGGGTCTAGAGCACAAGTCTTATGGGGAGCAGCTGAGGAACTGGGGTTGTTTAACTTGGAGAAAAGGGGGCTGAGGGGAGACCTTATCGCTCTCTACAATTACCTGAAAGGAGGTTGTAGCGAGGTAGGGTGGGGGTCAGTCTGTTCTCCCAAGTAACAAGAGGTAGAACAAGAGGAAACGGCTTCAAGTTGCACTAGGGGAGGTTTAGGATGGGTACTAGAAAAAATTTCTTCACCAAAATGGTTATCAAACATTGGGACAGGCTTTCCAGGGAAGTGGTGGAATCACCATCCCTGGAGGTATTTAAAAGATTGGTAGATGTGGTGCTTAGGTACATGGTTTAGCGGTGGTTTAGGCTGATGGTTGGACATGATGATCTTAAAGGTCTTTTCCAACCTAGATGATTCTATGATTCTATGTGAACTGAGCAGCAAGGAAAACCCAGGGAAAGTGTCAGGCAATGTTACCCTGAGAAGGGATTTTGATAGACTGTGCATTGAAGGAGTTCTGTTTGCACCGTAACACAGGATTTTAAAACCAAATACTTACATACTTTCTGCTGATTTCCAGGTTTCATGGCCTCACTGTGCTTCTTCTGCTGTCCAACTTTCATGTACAATATCCTATCTCACACTGGACAGTAAAACACTGTGCTGGAGAAGACACCAGTCAATGTGCTGTGGATGCTCTGAAAGAATAACAGCAAGGCTCAGAGCCAGACAGGCACAGATATTCTTCTCTGCTTGGAAAGGCAAGAGAAGCCACCCTCTTGGAACAAATTGCAGTTCCTGTAATACAAAACACAGCCCTGAGTACAAACAGCCCTTAGCCTCCCTTTGCTTTAATTGGCCCTTTGGTGGACTGGTCGAGCTTGCTGCCAAGAAATGATTTATGGAAAGCAATTAGGTGAAACAGAATTAGCTCCTTTCTGTTCTGCTATTTTTCACAGCGGTGCTGTAAGGAAAGCTTTCTTTTTCAGTGCATATATTCCCATGTTTATTCCCCATAATTGCATCCATTGTTGATGTCTGCTGGCTCCCCACTGAGACCAAGTTCCCATTGTCCAAATGTATGGATGCTGTCCAAACGCGTTAGGAGAGGCAGGCCTGCTGCTCCAAACATGGCCGTCATTTGACCGAAATTTAGGTGTGCAGAAGAGAGTCCAAGATACTCACCTCAGCTTTTTCCACAGTCAGTGCAGAACACTGGCAGTTCTTCCTGTCCTCATCCATAAGGCTCCACTGGAGATGGCTGTGCATTGCATTAGTCCATAAGGCAGACCCTTATGGACTAACTTAAGGTAGATGCCCAGGTATTCAATGTGTACAGTCAACTGAGATGGATCCCAGCCAAGTCGCTAAGGTACACAAAGAGCATTTAAGTGCCAACACAAGCCCAGGGACATGAAGTACCCAATGTCCCACATTCAGCCAGGAGCAAAACCGGGAATGCACTTTATCCACACCATCTCAGTGTGGGCCAAGGCATGTTCTCACATACCAGACTAACGTGTTGACTGGGGAAGGAGCCATTCAGTGTCCTGGACACATGGCCTCCACACCTCGTATGGCCCAAGAAGAGTCACCATATGATGCTTCAGGGAATTTTTGCTTTTCAGAGTTCAGTTCCATACTGTGGGCTGAGCTCTGAGTGCTCGTCCTGCTGTATGGGAACTCATGCAGTTTCTCTCCTTTGTGAACACTCTAGTGTGTAATAAGGGATATTTTCACACTGCAGCCCTTCTCCCAGAGGGCAGGGACAGCCTTTCCCTCTTGCCACCCTGCCACTACGTATCATAACACTGCAGGGAAACTTCAGAGATCTCATCCTTGGTGTCAAACGTGACTGGAAGTGCCTAAGAGAGGTGATGCCTGAGGAGGGCAGGTGGAAAAAAGAGGAATGAGAAGAGAATGGCAATAAAATGTCTCAGTTCTCATTAAAATAAAATACTTTGCCAGTGACATGTTAAAAATCATGGGCTTATCCCTGAGGCTCTCTGGTCTGGAAGGTCAGAAACATACAGTTTTATGTATCACTTACATACCTCACTTACTCAAGTGTTTTACAAGGAAAGGTACTTCAAGCAGTCTAGCTCTTTTACCATGAAATCCCCTTTTGAAAGCAGTGAGAAGTGCATTTCTCCCCCAGGATGACTCTTGTTATTGTTGCCACTTGGTGCTGTCAGTGAATATATAGAGACTGTTAGAGGTGAGAGGAAAGTGAAACACAGCTGTTGCGATACTCCATTATGGACAGACACCAACAACGTGTTGCTACTGGCTCGGGAGAGCCACAGGCAGGATTTGAACCGCTGACCTAGAATGGCTTTGCTCCTCAGGCATGCTCCCAAGATTTTAACGCTCCCTGGAAGGTAGGTGAACACAGACAATAAGAGGCTCTGACACCAGGCTGTGTACATTTTTGTTTGGCACGCTGATGCAACAGACTTACTGTGACATTAAAGCACTACAAGACAGCCCTGAGTAATAAAGTCCTTCTTCCACGATTACAGTGTCTCAGGAACAGTAGGTTTTCCGGCTCACCAGCCCTCTCCCAGCAGGGGCTATAGGGCAGGTCTGTCCTTGGTCTGTTAAGTGTGTGCCTGTCAGTGTGTGAAGGCCCTGCCAGCCGAGAGAGATGTCAGGTCGAATGCAATTAATTCCCAACAGGCCACGTCTGGAAACCATTAGGCGCCTGCAGTCTGCAGAGATCTCTTTATGAGCCACATCACCAGGCAAGATTTCAAGGTGACAGCGTAGCAGCGTGAGTGACGCACCGGCTGGCAACGTATGTTAAAGCTGAACACAGTTTTCTTTCAGGCATCATCATTAAATGCCTGTTCCTGAAACACCAGGAGTTTCAGCTGTTACCTTCAGCCAAGGCTTCAAAGCACACAGAGAGTGTGAACACCAGAGTAATTGCAGCTGCTCGCAGGCATCTCCCTACTGCCCAGGCACACTGCTTATCCCACAGCATCCACAGAGGGGTCCAGGTGGGCGATGCGCTAAAGAAGTGCTCTGGCAGAGGGCGAGCATCCTCTGCTGAGAGCAGAGCCTCAGGCACACTTACTGCTGATGGGAACAGGAACAGAGTAATTTCTGTCATTTGATCGTCTATCATCAATTCTATCAGCTCAGACTTCCTTGGGTCTTCTCATTTCCATCAAGAAGGCAGAAAGTCTACTGTGGTTTTAGCTGTGTTTCATCTAAGGGAGACGTCATCATTCTCTCTCTCTCGCTGTAACTCATGGGGTAGAAGGTGACATAAAGGGAACCCAAAAGGAAACTATGATTTACACTTCTCCTTGGCCTCCTGCTTAGCATCATGCTACAGCTCTGCCATTCAGCCCCCACTGCTCTGCATGTGGCACATGCTTTTCTGAGTCTCACTTATGTAATTTCTTCCCCATCCACATCAGGTGGACCCTGGTCATTCAGGATTTATAGTTAGTTATTCAAATGACAGCAACCTGATTAAGTCTTTCATAACCTTGTTGTCTTTAAACCTCATGCTCTGTTATCAATATAACATCGGAAGGTTTATCCACAGCCTTTGACCTGACTGATCCCACATTCTCCAGGACTTGTTGCCTGCCGGCTTAGCCCCTTCAGTGTCATCTGACCTTATCTAAGGGACTGCTTTAGGCTAGATGATATCATTTTGTGCTCTTTCTCCAGAGGTTTGAGACATGACTGGTCTGTCTTGGTCCCCTTATAGCCCCTTTATAAACGTAAAGATTTAGGGGTGGAGGTTATTACGTGGACTGAGGTACTATCTGTGAAGCTCGGCAGATTCCTCTCCTTCCTTTCTCCTCTGGATTTGTATGAAGTTATATAAAACATCTTTGTTCTGTATCTGAGATTAGTCTCATTTCATAATGCTTGGCGCCCTCTGAAGCTTGCATTGATTTGAATCCAAATGCCACAGTCACGGTCACATGAAACCATGCTCTTTCTTACACTTTCCATTACTTTGGCTCAATGTAAGGCATGGACTTTTGCCTGGTGGCTTGCAGCCTCGCAGGGTTTGCATATGCTCCTGCACACGTCTTTGCAAACTGGGGCCACATTATATTGCTCTAACAACAGCCGAGACTGGATGAAATTGAGTCCAGCTTGTGCCTGGTTTTATAAAGATTTCTCCTGCAGTTTTGAGCAGTAAGGTAACACACAGTTTCTCTGGCATTTCCAGGGTTTGCTCCGGGG